CCGGCAATTATCTCTTGGACGGCTACAAACCCACCTTTCAAGCCCATAAACTGGGAAGGGAAGCAACCGCTTGCATGAAACTCAATACAGCTCAAAAAATCTGCTATTACCCGGGAAAGCTCCATGGCGGGATCCAATCGTTCTTATTGGATCAGATCTTGGCTGATTGCTGCCAGCCGGCAGTGACAGCTAATCTTAATATATCATTCCTCAAGCCGATAGACCCGGAAAAGCCAATAATGCTTTTTGCACGACCCGTGAGCGTTGAGGGGCGGAAGATTTACATGGAAGGCAGTATTAAGGTCCGTGATGGGAAAACTGGGGTTATGATTGATGCGACACGGGTGAATGCACTATTCATTCATCCAGCATAGGAGTTAGAAGCGGGTAGGAGGTGGTTTCATATAGTGTTTGTGTTGGACAATCAAGGGCAACACAAAATAATTGGGCACGAAAAGGGAAATGGCAAGAAGGGAAGGAGACATGTTATCTACCGGGCAGGTCTGCAAGTAGGGCATATGTGCGTATTTGCATAGAATGTCACCATTATAACACTCCAGTACATATTAGGCACCAGGAAGTATATGGAAGCAAGTGCAAGCGACTTTAAACTACTGGACACCAACTAAAGTCATGGAATTTGACTTAGATGTCCCAGTATTTGCTAGAGGACTCTCCACCCTATTCCTCATGGTCAAATAGTTTTTGATAATAAGTCTAACGGCTTGTGAGCTCCCCATGAGACCCTCTCTCAATGATCTTGCCCTCTTCTAGCACAAGAATTTCATCAACTTCGCGTAGGAAAGACAGTCGATGACTGCGTTATAATTAGTCAAAGTAGATAGTGTGCGATAAGAGATAACATACGTGATTAATAACTTGGTCATTTTTCTCGCTTGCAGTATTTGCCAAACCTTCTGCTGCGCAGAATTGTCTAACTGGCTAGTAGGTTCGTCCAACAGCAAAATAGGGGGGTCACGTAAAAGGACCCGGGCTAAGGCAACAAGCTGCCTCTGCCCACCAGAGAGGTCGACGCCTGAGCCGATAGGAGTGTTATATCCGTCTGAAAATTTGAGGATACGCTGGTGAAGTCCGAGCTGCTGGCACAAATCCTGAATGACTGCCAGTCCGATGTCTTTTTCAAGGCCGTATGTTAGGTTATCGCGGATTGATAAGCCATGAATTAGTG